TGCATTATTTGTTGCAAAAAAGGAATTTGCTTGACCGGTCACAGTTTATGGATGTAAAAGATAACAGTGATGTCAAGAATAACATAGGTAATGATTTAACAGTACCGTGGTGAAGTAAGTTCAGGAACTTGAGTTTTTGGATATAGGTTTGAATTTCAGGTCCCCAGTCTCAAATTTGTGACTTTGGACACCTATTGCCCCTGAGCTTTAATGTCTCCATCTATAAATTTTGGAGTGCTTTCATTTAATAGCTAGAAAGCTGTTAGGATCACCTGGTCTGAACTCCTGGTGTTAATGATGATGGAACTTTGTCTCAAAGCATATCAATCATTTACATAATGATTTTACGAATGGAGTTAGAATTAAGAGCAATCCACCTTCCACTTGTTGTCTCTAATCAGCTTCCATGCCCGTTCGCCAAAATGACTCCTCCAAGTTTTTGTTCCCCTCAATCCCCAACTTGCTCCATCTCTTCTTCCCCTTCTTCTCGCCTCACATTCAGAGAAAGATTCCTGTGTTGGAACCCTGGGCCCAGCTTTCTTTCCACTATCTTTCCAGCTTTCCCTGAGTGCCCAGCACCTAACAAATCCTGTGTACTCCTGCCACAACAAACTTCTTGTCATTCCCCAAACAGACCCTGCCTCCTACCACCCCTATGTATTCACCAATCTTTCCTTGTTAGAATACCCTTCCTCTAAGCCTGTCAGACTTCTGTTCATGCCTCAAGATCCAGTTACCTCCTTCCAGTCACCTTTCTTGGTTTCCCCAAGGGGAGCTCATCCATTCCTCTTCTGCATTCCCTCAACAATCTGTTCATAGCAGCACGTTGTGATCTGCTCCCCTCAGAGCATATCTGTTTTGCTCACTAGATCCTAATGTTTCTTTTCTTTTTTTTTTTTTTTAGCTGAGCCATCCTGCTACCTATTGGCAGCTCAGCGNTTTTTTTTTTAGCTGAGCCATCCTGCTACCTATTGGCAGCTCAGCGGCTACTCAGCTTGGGCTGGACTCGAACCGCTGTTGCTCAGAGCTCAAACTCTTGAGCGAGCTCTTAACCAACTGAGCCACTCGGCCGGCCCTAGATCCTAATGTTTCTTAAGGGCCAGGACTGGATCTTCTTTTATTGATTTACTACTTGTCAGCATTTAGCATGGTGTCTGGCAGATTGTGGGCACACAATCATTGTCTTAGGCATGAATGCCCTTGGATCTCTTGGCCCCTAATCCAGTCGGGCTCTGTATGCCTGGTATCACTTAGTTGTATTCAGAAGCGTGGGTAGAGATTGTGTAACATGGGATATTGTAATGGTCGGGCTAACAGACCCAATTAATATAGTCTCTACTGAGATCCAAATCAAGACCTTTTTTATTAGGGGTTGCTGGATAGGTAGCCAGAAAGCCAAATGACACCTCAAGAATCAGATCCACAGGACAAATATGAATTATACTGTATAAGTGTATATTTGTGTAATACTTATGACTGAAATATGCTTTATGCCAGAAATATTCTTCTATCTCTAATCACTCTTCATAGGCATTGGTAGACAGATAACTAGGCATCCGAGGCTGGTTAAACCATCTTCTATGTTCTTCCCTTGAGCTTCATGCTTGTCCTTACCAGGTGGTAATATCTATAGAAACAGGAATTGTTGTGATTTAACTCCAGATTCTCCTGTATGAGGTATTCTTCCTTAATCTTGACTACTGTAACTACAGTTGTCACGATATCTGCTCTTATCAGCATGTGTTTCCTTTTAGCTTTTCCCACAACACATTTATGTTGCATCAGAGACCCACCTCCCAGGCAAGGCTAGAAATCTTACAACTCCTGTTGTTCAGTTCTCTTTGCACATTCGCATCTGCTTGGCCCATTTTCCCCACCCAGTGCCGATCCCTAGGATTCTCCAAGTTACATCTTGGCATCTGCTTCTCAAGGTAGCATACTTGGCTAGCTCCCTGCCCCCAACTCCAACTGCAAGCATAGGTTGGGCATACGATTAGTCCTTCTGAATTCCATGATAAATCATAGGTATTGCCACATTCATAATCCTTTCAGTGGCCAAACCTGGTGAATGGTCACCACGTCAGCGACTTCCCTGTCTGATCTTCATTGTTCTTGATGACCATCTCGGCTCTACTTTTAAGTTAGATACAATGTCCCAGTCATGTCTCCTGGCCAACACACCACAAACCCACTGGTCAAATCTGCATGTTCTTGCAACTCTCACATTTTACTAAATCTTCCATCGCATTACCATCTACACCATGGTGATAAGATATTGATCCTGCATGAAAAGAACCATCTTTAACATAATGAATATATAAGTTACCTGCAGATTTACACTTTCCAAACATAAAAGTCCTTGTCAATACTTTTAATTCATTCACATCGATGTGACTACTGTATGTGATTCACATTTCTTTAGAATCCCCTGCCTCCAGACCCAGATGGATGATGAGATAGGTAGATAGATAGATGATAGATAGATAGATAGATAGATAGACAATAGATACTATTGCCCCATAGTATTCTTAATCCTACCCTAAATAATAATAATAATAATAATAATAATAATAATAATAATTCCTATAAACTTCAAATAAAGCTTGCATCTGTAAATGTTATAAATCACCACAAAAAATAGACATGAGTATCATGTACTGTATTCCTAATAATTTGATACACAAGTTGAATTTAATACATCAGAATGAACATTGGATCGCAAAGAAATACAGGCATTTATTGTTAATCCTGGGGATGAAACCATAACTGTGCCACAATGTTTGAAATTGTGTGAATTCAATGGAAAGGTTGCCAATTTACATAATGATAGTTACAGAAATATACAGTGTGGCTATGTAGTCACGGGGTTTAATCAGTGTGTTAAAAAACATAACTGATCTGTTCATAATTTTGTCATATGCACGCATGTCCATGGCCAAGGGCCAAATGCACTTAATGCAATTCAAGGATGACAAGGAGGATTGATGGCCTCTAGTGAGCAATTGATTACCAGTAAATACAGCGATGTTAAAAATCCAGCTTATACTTCATTCAGAACAGAAAGGCCATTTCCATTTGCTGTGGTTCTTCATCCAAGTTTATTAATAAAATAAGGAGTAAGAAGGGGAAACAATTCTTGGATTTTATTAGTCAAAGATAACAAACCCTGAATTGTGAAGATGAACATAAGCCTTGGTTTACAAAATATGTGTGTGCAGAAATAACTTCGAGTGTCTAGCAATTCACTTAAACCATGACCTGGGTCTTTGGTCTTAAAGCAACTAAAAAAAATGGTTAGGGGGAGAAATGGATTAAAAAATGTATTGTACTATATGATTATCTCAAAGACTGATTATTATGCAGAAGTGTGTTCCAATTTCAATTTTACAAACTACTAATTTATTCTCAGCAGCTGTAATTTGAGATCCCACGGGATGATATATAAGAACACACGAGAAACTTTGGTAGGCTATTGTTGGTTTGGTGACTTGATTCACCAAGGCTCCTTGGCTGAGATTTCCACTGTCTGAAGCTATAAAAACATGGCAGCCACAGTGTAATTCATCACAGCTGGAGTCTCATGATACACAGCGCACAATAAGAACCTGAAAATGTACTAAAAAGATCATAGGACATTATCCTGTAAATATTTTTCACCTTGGTTGATTTTTTATGCAGCAAAATAGGGAAGAGTTAGAAAAGTATCTTGACAATGAGTAGGTGCAATTAATTATGTAGTAATAATATCTTGTGCTGGTTTCCTGAAGCCCGTTGATGTCTTGCTAGTATGTAGAATATTAAAGGTGTGGGAGGTCTACATTGCATCTTACCGTATGTCACAATTCATCTGAATTAAGCAGATGTTTGTTGAGTTCCTATCATAAGCCAGACATTGTGTAGTTGGAGATACAAAGATGACAGCTGCAGTAGACACAACACATATTATTTCAACTAGTAAATCATCATCTTTTATAGTAATTATTATTTTTTTAAATCTTTTCATTCTATAATTATTTACTTATGGCTTAATAGAAAACTATCTTGCTTTTTTGGATATAAATGTACACACTGTCAATTTTCATTGAAAACAGTTTTGTCAAACACAAGTCATTGTAATGTCCTTTAACACTCAAATAGCATTTAAGGGAAAGTTTAACATTATAAACTACGATATCAAAAATTTTGGCTCATATTTTTTCTTGATGCTTCACAATTTTAAAGTGTCTTGTTGCTGTCTCTTTCATCTAATCCTATAATTTTTAACCATTACTGGGGTATGATCACATTCCTCTTTCAGCATCTATTAAAATGAAACTTCTCACCAGAAAAATGCATACACTCAATTATATAAACACAATACATTACATGTATTTTCTGAGGATTGACCAGGTTGAGAAATACCACACTAAATCCTACAAATACAAGTGCATAAATTTAGGAAGACACAACCTATGAAATTACAACTCAAGTTGACAATTAAGGGACGATCTTTTGAGGAATGACCCTGGGATTACAATTTAGTTTCCTATCCAAATTACTGATAAATTTATTTTCTGCCACAAATATGTGGTTTCAGTTTGCCCCTGTGATGGAAAATAAATTATTAGGCTGGCGTCCTGATAAAGTTAGCATGAATCTAGGTCAGAATGTTAAGACTTCCCTAAGCCTGACCATATGCGAAAGTGATCCATGACACATGTGTTTGCATATAGGGGATACAGCTTTGTTAAGGTTCTGGGGTTATTGTGAACAAGCTACAATTCTATGACATCTTTTTTTTTAAATGCAACTGAGTCCCATCATCCTTTAGTGCTTCTGGGATCCGGAGAAGCTTAGAAAAGTCGATGTCATTAGTTTGTCTTTGGAACATTTCCAGAGCTGAACAGGTGACACCATAAACATACCCCAGTGTTGCCTTTTGCAGTGAGCTAGTGGCTCTACGAAGTGGCTCCTTCTGTTTATAAATTGATTTTAATGATTTCTTTCTTTCTCCTGGGAAGGATTTATGTGGGCATCATTCATGTGACACCCTGGGAATGGCAGACGTTGGGACCATATGTTCTCCGGAGCGCAGCTGTGCTGTGATTGAAGACGATGGCCTCCACGCAGCTTTCACTGTGGCTCACGAAATTGGTACGCAGTGCCTTTTCTCTTCCCTCGCCAAACCAAACACTTGTAACAGCTGCAAAAGGAACCAAAGCATTTGGCAATTAATTCCAGATTTCTCCTGGTTCAGATACACCATTGGGGGGTGAATTTGTTTATATTTGCACTTTGAAGATTAACTAATAAGGGAGAGGGAAGGCAAAGTCAGGCATACAGGAGACGGTTCCTTTATAACCGTGGCACTTAAAGGCCTAAGAGAAATTCGCTACTGCTGCTGTCTTTTAAGGATCCTTAAATGACTCTTAGGGGAAATTTCTCACAGCTGACTCTGGAATGCAGTGATCTTCCTCTTAGAAGTTACTCAAGGCTCTATTGACTCATCCTGGGCGAAGCAGTTTGCACAGGAATTTATCACATTTTATTTCTTTGCTAGTGATAAACCGCCGGCTCCTGTCACTGGTAATCAATAGCTTATGGTAAACATGCCTGTCTAGTTTTTAATAGCAAGCCAAATGAAACCAAACCTAACGGTCAACAGGGTTTGTTTTAAAAATGTTACTTACCTGATTTGTTTGTCATAAGAATTACATCTAAATCCTAACACTAGAAGTTTAGGACTGAGTTAATTGTTGAAAGCTATCCCAGCAATTAGGAATATGTGTTTCCTAATCACTGACCTAGGTAGGCTACTAGGGTGATGGGAAGTTAGTTTAGAATTTAAGATTAGTTGTTAGAATTAGACATGTCTGGGCTCACTTCTTGCAGAAGTACTTTCTAGCTGTGTTACATTGGTCTTATTACTTAAACTCTCTAAGCCTCAGTTTTCATGTATGAAATATAGGAATAATAGTGTCTATTACATGGAATTATTTTTAGAGCCAAACTGAAGAGATTATGGATACCATCTGTTATTTATATTCACATAGACATCTGTTTTGCTTTTTAAGTAAATAGTTCATTTACTTTTTTAATGTATGTATCACCTTTTAGCATCATCTTTAGGGGGCAAAATATGGTTTAATAATTATTGAGTTTTGATAATTGTTTGTTCTATTTTATTAATAGATTTAGTTTTTTTAGCTAAAACCATAATTTTTAAAAAGAAATTAAAACGTTTTTTTCACATTCCTAGTAGGCAAAGCAGATTTCACAAGTTACCAATTTCTACCTGCTATGTTTCCTTTGCAGAGTACAAATAACTTCAAATCAAAGGTGTAATTGCATAAACCGGTATATTGCAGCAGTAAAATAGAAATCAGTAGTTAAATTTTAATTCTTAGATATTAGTCATGACTTTAATTTTCTTAACTGACACTCTTTTTACCATCTAAGCAGAAAAGAAAACAAAGTATTTATGTTATATAAATAATTATTCCACCGCATCTCTGATAATAATTCAATTTAACACCTTATTCATTGAGCATCTTTAGCTTAACTAGCCAGAGATCTGCGATGAAGTCTCAGCGGCATCTCCATATTCTGTGCACTATGTCAGGCAAGTGGTTGAGATGCTCTAAGAATCCTTTTTTTTTCTGTAAGGCAGACTGATAAGGACACATGGCTCTCTGATGTGCTGCTCGAGAAAAGTTCAAAGTGTTTTGAAGAATATGTCATTTGAGTTTCAGGGATGGAATAATGTCTTCATTTGTCTCTCACTCATGCCTATTAAAGTAACCAATTAAAACTATAGCCTAATATAGGTCCTTAATCAATATTTATTACCTATCTATGTATATTCATGAATGAGTAATCGGGAGAAATGTGAGAGCCGCCCAAGGCAACCTTCCAATTCTGCAGCTGAAACTAAGAGAGAATAGTCCAAATACTGAAGAGGATTGTAATTAGAGAAGGTTTACACCGGAGTAAAAGTACACCAGTAATCAATCACGACTATTCAGAGAGAAGCCCTATAGGAAAGATTCTAAATCCCTGGGAATGCAGAGGCTGGCTCATCTCAGAGGAGGCAGAGAAACGGTGAGGAGTAAGGAAGAGAGTTGAATTGTGGTCTCACCCACGCGTAATCTTACGAGCCCTAAATCCTGATCTTCAAATGAAGAGTTTACAAATTCCTTGAAAGAAGGGCTCTTTCTTCCTTCCATCCTGCAGTGATCCGTTTTCACACATCGATAGCATATGGGAGGCTGCCTTGTATGAGAACCACTGTGGCAGTAACTGCAGCTTCTTAGGGGCTACACTGACTCCCAACTGGGCTGGAATGAAGGACCTTTCACCATCACCTATCCCAGCCCTCCTGAATTCCTAAACCAAGTGTTGGATTACACAGGCAGATGCAGCAGTCAGAGAGGCAAGAAGCCAGATGCTGATGACAACAAATGGTTATTCAAACTAGATATACACAATAAGAACTTTTCTTAATAGTACAAGAAAACTGGATATAGTTTTACAAGACAACAGTGTTCACCATAGGTTTCTAGGTGAAAAATCAAACTGAATCTTTGTTATATGACTACAACCTTGAGCCTCCTTTAATTTCTTGACTGAGTCAGCTCTACTTCCTTCTTTAGAAGACTCTATAATTCATTCTCCATTCAGTCTGCCTATTTAATTTCCCTCTTTGTATTACATATGGCCTAATCTGAGAAATTTGAGGTCTGGGGATAGAGGAATATGGATTTAATTCCCCTCTCATAAGTGGATCTGGCTTTCATTCACTTTATTTTCTAATTGCTTTATTATTCTTTAATTTTACCTTTTTGCCTAAAAATTGTGAACACGTGTTATAAAGTATGAGCCTTATGAAGTTTAGAGAAGATAGCCTCACAAAATATTTCCTAATCATCTGTGTATGATTAGAGTCTTGCCTCTGCAGCCTGTGTGTTCTTGGTAATGCCTCTTGCAGAACTATTTCCAGTGCTTTATTTTTAGATTGTTGCATGAAGCCATACAGCAAGCTAACCATCCCTCAGATTCTAATTCTGCTCCACTCTTCTCATGTGATTTTCTCCCCTCCCTTTTATTAGATGCTTCCTACTTTCCAGATTTGGAGGTGATAAAGACAGGCCACATATGGTGATGAAAATGATGCTGTGAAACCTCGGTTTTGCTGGAGGGTTTTGAATTTGCTTGAGCCCACTCCAAAATGTACAACTTGCTTCATGCACACAGACTGTACATATGTTACTGTGCTCAACACATAAGTTGTGGAGAAAATTTCCTGGCTGTTTCCATAACTTTTCTACTTCATCCCTTCTATAAGCTGTAAAGATGTATTTGGTCAAGAATAACACCCATTAACCGACTTAAAGTTTCTCATGGGATTCCCCACTGCTTCCTCTTTTTATACATAGTGAAAATACAGCCATTGTATTTGAATCAAAATTTCCTTTGTTCTTTTACCGCCTCCATCTAATAAATGTCCTGTTTTGAGAATTAACAAGTAAGATAAAGTCTCTTATGGTACCTTTTCTATCCACAGCGTTAAAGTCAGAATGAAGTGGGTTAAGGAAACAATCCAGAAAGTGACTCTTTTCCTGTACTGCATATAAACCTGATCAATTCTCTTTTCCTGCTACTTCGTTCTAAAAAAGAGCTAGATTTTGGAGATACAGAGGCAACTGATGCCAATACAGGCTTCTGGAAAATAGATTTTCATGCATATAGACTCTCCATTGGCAGTAATCACTTGCTTTCCTCCTTTCTATGTTATGTGCATGAAAACATTGACTGCATTGTGCATTAGGACATTTATGAAAATTGCTTTAAACTATCAAGAACACGGGCACCATCCCTGTGCCTTGAGTGGAGGCAAGAATGTGGTTACTGCCGCTTTACAATCCAAATATGAATGGTAGAAAGTTTCAAGTGACTGTAAGTTGGCGTTTTGAGTTTATGTTTTTAACTTGTCAAACTTTTATTATCGGCGTGAAATAATAAAGATTTCACCTGCTGCACACATGGCTTTTCAAAATAATAATTTTACTGATGTTGGGCCAGCTTCTAATATGCAGGGGGAGCAGTCTGATTTTATTTAGACTAATGAAATCCATGATTTGCAAGCTTGCCGAAGCTTTGCTGTATGGTAGTTAATTATAAAACGCGCTAAGTGAATCTCTTCACCATGAAAGATTCCAAAATGCTTCCTAAGCTATAAAGTCAGGCAACTGAAAGAGTCAGAGCCAAATACTCAGCTGGAGACTTAGGAAGTGGCTGAGACACTGCAGCTGACTGCCTGTGTTTTGCTGTGGGTAGAGCAAGTTCTCTGGTTGTGCTGATGTATGTGTGACCATGTTCCCATGGATGATTAGATTAAACAAGGCCGTGTTTTGAAAAGCTGCAGAGGCCCTGGAAACACCACAGACCAAAGCCAAGTGCACAGAATCAGATGTCAGGCCTGGCTGTGAGATGTGAAGTGAAAGGAAGCTAGGATTAAACTTGGTATTTATTTCCAAACCCATAGCTTTAATCAACACAGACTGAGCATTTTTTTCTATCTAGTTTGGAGCAATGCCACACTATGTCTTTCTTGGCCCCCAGATGAAAGGTGGGAAGAGGCCTTTCCTATATGTCTAGCAGAATTGAGAGATTGAGTGTTGAGTGCCAGGTGTTGCCTCGTTTGACTGTTTGTAATCAAATCCCAATTCATATTTCTTTAGGGAAGGCCTATAACTTGTCCGCCACATGCATGGCAACCCAACCAGTTGAAGGTGTCATAAAAAGTAAACATATCATACACTTACTGCATGATTTTTTTCTTCTTATGATCAGAAGATTTCCCCTTCTCTCCCAAATCAAGAGCGTCTAAGAATATCGAATTTTTTCAGAACTACTGGAGATAGGAATGCCCATCAGTATAACAAACCTGAGATATCAGTGAGAACGACCAAGTTAGCGAACCATCACTGGGCATTAGCTATTGTCAAGCTTATATCCTAAGTTTGCCTCTTTTATACCATTTAACCCTTACAAAATGCCATGAGATAAGTACTTGTAATGGGTCACCCAGACAGGAGGAAATTGACACCCAGAGAAATGTATAAACCTGTCAAAGGTCAACAACTAATATACTG